GAGACGGGAACGGGGAGGTCGTGGTGGCGGAAAACTGGTGCGGAGCGCCGCCAGTTGGGAGGGGGCCGCGTGCGTCGCCGCCGGCCGAAGGAGTGGGCCGCGCGCACCACTGTCATCACGAATCGCAAGGTGAGAAGAGGGTTGCGTCTAGGGATTGAGGGAGGTAAGGCGCTGGGCGCTGGGCGACTAGGCGAGGATTGTGTGCCGAGGCCCCAGGGGCGGGTCGCCTGTCGCGTGCGGTCCGCGAGTGTCCTATTGAGGGCGACGTCGTTTGCGTGACTTCCGCGACTTTCCTTCTGACTCGATCGCGGGGAGGCGATCAGCACCGCGAGGCAGAGCGACGTAGGAGATCAGGACGCGCGGTATCGCAAGGAGACTGCCGGACCGACGGAGCGACAATTGTCTCACGAAATGGTGATCTTATTTTCTTTCTTTTTAGTTGGACGAGACTCCTGCGGGCGCAATGGCGCACACCAGGCTCGGTTGAGAGACAGGGAGCACAGATGCGAACCAGCGAACGGACCAAAAACTGCTGTGTTGGTCTAGTATCTACTCATTGAGTCAAACAGATAAAAATGTGTTGCATACAAAGGCATGTCTCACCTCCAGGTCCTCAGCGCGGTCCGTAGGAACGAGACAAGCTCTCCTGGTCACCGAAGTGACCGAACCAATCAGCTCTTACGCGACTACTATGATGCAGCCGGGAGCCGGAGGCCCGCGGCAAAGGCTGGGAAGCCGCGGCCCCCTATTCAGTGCGTAGCACGTTGTGGTGTGGTGCGCCATTGGATGGGATTAGTGATGAAAACGGTACGGATATTTTCTGAACGTATTTGAGTTCGAATCTGTTTAGAGGTGTTCAGATTTGTCCGTATTTGAGTCCGGATATTCAACATCCGATACCGTATCCGTATCCGAATACTTAAATCGCATATTTATAATGTCGACGTCTAATCATATCCTATCCAGCATGGCTGATACTATCCGTATTCGAATTCAACTAGAAATATGAAAATAAATATAATATCAGTGATATTCATTCTGAGAGTTGGGGCGGGGGCAGCGGATCCCTCGTCGCGAGAGATCGCCGAGTCCCACCACGTGTGTCTTGCGCCATCGCGGCGGAAGCTCTGCGCAGCTCGCGACTGAAGCCAAACGCAAGGTTCCATCCGCAACGGGCTAGCGACCCTCTCGCTAGCGCCGTTGGCTACGGGAGTGCCGGAGTGCCGAGTGGCGACCCGCGGACCGGGTGTTGCCGCGCGTTGCGTTGCTCCCCCGCTTGGCCTCCTCCCGTGGCGCACACGTAGCGCCTGCCGACAACAAGTGGCGAAGTACCGTGAGCGCTACATGAACATGACTAGTCAGTCTGCTGTGCCTTCTCGTTATCGTCGTCATCATAGCTCGCACGTTAGATGAACTGAACTAGTACCGTAGTCATTAGTACAACGTTTCAACTAAAGTTTAAGCTTAGGCCTCGTTTAGTTGGGTGAAATTTGGAAATTTAGCTACTGTAGCACTTTTCATTTTTATTTGACAATTAATGTTCAATCATGGACTAATTAGGCTCAAAACGTTCGTCTCGCGATTTTTCACCAAATTGTGTAATTAGTTTTTTTCGTCTATATTTAATGCTCCATGTACGTATCGTAAGATTCGATGTGATGGCTGCTGTAGCACTTTTTGATAAAACTTTTTGGAACTAAACTTGAGCCTTGTTTAGTTGGCGAAATTTTTTAAGAAACGGTACTGTAGCATTTTCGTTGTTATTTGGTAATTAGTGTCCAATCATAATCTAATTAGGCTTAAAAGATTCGTCTCGTGAATTTCATCTAAACTGTGTAATTAGTTTTATTTTTTATTTATATTTAATGCTTAATGCATACGTCTAAAGATTTGATGTGACGAAAAATCTTAAAAAAATTTGTAAAATTTTGGGAACTAAACAGTCACTTTGGCCTTACGTGGACGAGTAAATTTATGTGACACCAAACTGTCATTTCGGTTCGGCAGGTTACGGTTTACTACAGTCCAACAAGGACCCGACAAAGAAAACAGTCACTGTCATTTTGAGTAGTCAGAGCACGGAAGCGTAGAGCAGGGGTAACAGCAGAAGAATTACGCTGCTACAGTACAAAACATCGGTCAAATCTCCGGTTTGGATCTTTCCGGAGCTCCAACTGGGTGTTTGATCTAGACTAAAGTTTAAAGTTTAGTCCGTGTCATATTGGACATTCGGATGCTATCTAAGAGGATTAAATATGAGCTAATTAAAAAATTAATTATACAGGAGTAGACTAATTTATGAGATGAATCTATTAAGCCTAATTAATCTATCATTAGCACATATTTACTGTAGCACCACATTATCAAATCATGAACTAATTAGGCTTAAAAAATTCGTCTCGCAAATTAGTCGTAATCTGTGTAATTAGTTATTTTTTTAGTCTATATTTAATACTCCATGCGTGTGTGCAAACATTCGATGGGACAGGGACTAAAATCCGGTCTAAGGAACCAAACAGCCCCTAAAGCCTTGTTTAGTTGGTCAAAATTGGAGGTGCAAAGTTTGCACAGTGTAAGATTCCCCACTATAGTATTTCGTTTGTATTTGTGAATTATTGTCAAACATTGACTAATTAGGCTCAAAAGATACGTTTCGCAAAGTACAATCAAACCGTACAATTAGTTTTTGATTTCGTCTACATTTAGTACTACATGCATGTACCACAAATTTGATGTGACGGGGAATCTTCTTTTTGCATAGTACACTTTTTAGGAGTTCGGGAGGAACTAAACATGGCCTAACCTGAAAGCTGCCGCTCAAAAAAAGAGGATATTTAACTTTTACCATTATAACGGATGTCACCTCTCCAAATAGCACTCTTAAAATTGCTAATACATATTTATCATCGAGAGATAGCATTTGATACATTCTTGTCATTTTCGCTGACGTGACATGCCAACTTGACCTGACAGCATAGACCGGCCACGGGAATTTACCCTCATCTATTTTCTATCTCTATCCCTTCCTCGCTTGAGCTCTGGCCATGGTCGACGATGGAGTCCATGGCGACGGCTGACAGGACATACTCACTCAATCAACGACACTGCTGGCTTATCTCCCGCACCCAAGCTCTCGTGACCACCTATCCGGCTCTCGCCATGAGTCGCCACCTTCGCTTATCGCCTCAGCCCATTCCGGGCGGCGATCTCCGATGGCGCTACCATCATAGCACCGGCCTCCCCGATGACTCCACTCGCGGCCAAAGGGAAGGCGTATGCACGCCCATCCATGGAGCACAAGCCCGGTCCCGCCACGACCGCTGCGGTCCTCGAACCCATCCAGAGTGTCACCGCCGCCGCGCCTGCAGACGAACAGGTAGGACGACGCACCGGCAACGAGAACGAACGAGCGTGGCCGCGAGTTGCGTCGCCCTCGGCGGCCTTTTGGCATTTGTCGAACAATGAAAAGTGCGTGGCGGCGGTGGTAAGCACGCCGGACGGCGCGAACACTAAGCCGCGGACGCGGCCTCACGCGAAGCCGGTGTGTCCACCCGCAGAAGAAATCCGAGATCACGCAACGACTTCGCCGTCTGGCGGCGACGTCGCTGCCCCTGAGTCTGGAGCGGAAGGCGTGGGACCGCACCACTCGTCGAGCAAGCGCCGCAGGCGGCGGCGTGTGCGTGGAAGTCGGCGCCGACGGAGGTCGGGCCCGACGTGTCGTGGTCAACGGTGGAGGGAACGAGAGCGACTGCACCGAGGCAAGGGTGCTCGGCGAGGAGCGACGCGAGGAGGTGGGTCGTGGTGGGCGTCTCGACGACGGTGAGGCGAGGGTCGTGTGGTGAGGGAGCGCGAGGTGGAGGAGCGAGCGCGCATGGCCTCGCGCGCGGTACGGGACTAGTAGCACACATGCGGCGCCCGGTGGTGTTCTTTGGTGCCGGAGGGGCTTGCGCGCTGGCGCCATGCGCAATCTGTGTGGCTGCGGCAACAGACGTTCTCTCTGCGGCTATCACGAGCCGTCCATCCTTTAATCTATGGCAATAAAGGAAGGGGTATGACTGACTTTTCGCATGGGGCTGTTGACTCGAATCCGAGCTAGACAGCGAAGCTGCCATGCTACACGAGCAAAAGTGGTAAATGTGTATCGTTTTTTTTTCTCTGCTGCTAAAAGCGTAGCGTCAAATCTAAAGCTGTTATTTGAGGAGGTGTCATCCGTTATGATGGTAAAAAGTTAATTATCCCGAAAAAAAAAGGCGCCATTGCCTTGCCATTACTATCCAAGCAGGAGTACTATCCAAGCTGGCAAGCTGAGCTTCAAACCTTCAACGGCAACTTTGCCCACTGTATTCCGTATCGCATTCAAACGCCGCACGAACGCAATGGGGTATCGCATTCAAACGCCGTTCGAGAAGAAAGAATCAAGAAGGCAGAGGAAATGAGGAATTTCTTGCCTCGTCTATTCGCCGTTGCGCGATGGGGTATGGGCGTATGGCGAACACCGAGCAGCAGCTTTAAAAAACTTTGGCAGGACTCTTAACCAGGCAACAGCAGGTCACCAACCAGAACCAAGCAACCATTCAATTTCACACAAATGCACACGCATACGTCCTAACGGTCAATTTCACACAAAGATACTATGCAACCAGCTTGTTTCAAATCTCAACTTATGCTAGTCGCATGCTTTTACCCAAAGTTATTTATCAAACACACCTCAGATCTGCCTCCAGCGTACTGAGTACTGTAGCTTAGGAACGAAAAAGGCAAGATGTAAGGAACAAACAGCTGTTCTAAATCATACTGCAACAGCCACCATTAGAGGCGTTGATTAGCAAATGCTAGAAAAAACCCGCAAATGGCCACATTCATATTTAGCAACAAATTAACACTAGCAACCAATTAAGATTAACAACTACACACCGCTCGTTTCTTATCTCAAGTTTGAAAACTAAGAAGAAGAAAGCATCTAATAGTTATCAGGTCGTGACCTCTCGGATCTGGGGCCGTCAGACGTCCGGCGGCGAGCAGTCGGGGCAACGGACGAGGCCGTTCTCGTTACATCCGGCGCAGGTGCGGAAGCCGCCGCCGCCCTTCACGCTGTACCGCTTGTGGCTGCCGTTGCAGCTGCCGCAGAGCACGTACCGCTCGCCGCCGCACCGGCCGCAGGCGGCGAGGGAGGCGGCGACGGCGCCGGCCACGACGCGGCGGAGGTCGCCGGCCTCGTGGAGGCGCCGGACCTCGTCGGCGCCGCCGAGGTGGCGGCCCCCGACGAAGACCTGGGGCAGCGTGATGCGCCGCGGGGACGCGAGGCGTGGGAGCAGCGCCGCGAGCTCCTGGAGGTAGCGCGGGTCCATGGCGAGGTCGCGCTCGTCGACGGCGACGCGGAGCCCGCGCAGGATGGCGCGCACGGCGCGGCAGTCCTCGTACGTGCTGCGGACCACGTGGAGCGAGGTGAAGTAGAGCACGACGCGGCGGTCGGCCTCGGAGGCGGCGGCGGCGCCGCCGGCGGAGGACAGCGGCGCCTGGTGGGTGCGGAGCGCGCGGAGGGCCGAGGCGGCGACGCGGACGCGGTGAAAGACGCGGACGGAGGAGGAGGAGGGGGAGCAGGTCGCGGCGGGCGGCGGGGAGGGCGTCGCGGCGTCGGACAGGAGGAGCGCCTGGAGGTCCTTGAGTGAGGGAGATGAGAAGGACAGGCGCGGTGAGGCGGCGGCGATGAGCGCGGTGGAGGAGGAAGAGGTGGAGGTGGCGGAGGAGGGGGAGGTGGATGAAGGGCGCGTCTTCACCCAGGGCAACCACATGGGGGGAGATGGGCGAGCGGAGGCCGGAGATGGGGACGAGGAGGCGGGGATTTGTTCGTTTTTCATATGGTTTGGGGGCTGACGGGAAGCACGCGGCGGCCGGGTACCCTTGCTGTTTTGTGGCCCTCGAGTTTGTTTTTTTTTTTTTTTTTTTTTGCATGCTCTGTTTTGCGCTCGGATCAGGTTAGGTTTGAAATTTGAGGGGGGGGGAGCATTCTCCCTTTTTAGCCCTTTCAGCTTTTTTTTTTCCATTCACTTGGAAAGGAACTTGAAGTTTTTCCCCCCCTAGTAGTACGTACATATCCTAGCAGGTTAAGCCGTTAAGGATACTTCTTCACCTAAGTACACATGACGCATTGGGTACCCTCTCTTCGAGTTGACTTTTGCTTCGGCTTGTTGAATTGCTTGGCCTAGAGGATCCTTAAGGTATACAGTATGCAACATTGTATAAAGGAACATATTTTCTCCTTTAAGTTTGACAAGAGTAGAGTACCGTGGTAAAGGACATCAAGGACAGGACTAACCTTTCAGGTTCCTGAGTCTTTCAGGCTATAGCTAGCCTCACCTTTGTTTGTGGATGTTATACTCTGTTTAGACCTATTAGTGTAAATATTTCAAGCATATTTGGGTACCGTTTACTTCCACTCCAAAATGCCAAATTTTTCAAGATTCTCCGTCACATCGAATCTTTGGACGCATGCATGAAGCATTAAATATAAATAAAAAAATAAAACTAATTACACAGTTTAGACGAAATCCACGAGACGAATCTTTTAAGCCTAATTATACTATGATTGGACACTAATTGCCAAATAACAACGAAAAACGCTACAGTGTCATTTTGCCAATTTTTTCGGCATCTAAACACAGCCTTGGATCAACTAATACTGTTAAATAAGTTGCTAATAAAAATTGTAGCTGATCTCCTTTCAAAAAAATGTAGCTGATCCAACAAGCCAGCTTATTGCTGAGCTAATAAAAAAACAACTAACCCAACTAGCAATAATCCATTAGTTGTCTCTAACCAGCTAATAGCAGCTAATAAGGACATTTACGTCAATAACCAATAACCCGCCTAACTATAAACTAAGTGGTTCTCTATTAGCCTTAGCTACATTTATTTATCTATTAGCTAGCTAAATACACTATTAGTAGGAGTTGTTTGGATTCACTATGGTTGGAGGTGTAATTGGACTATTGACACCCCTCCACCAGCTAATGAACTAACCGTTAGCAGCCCCCTTAGCTAATAGTTAGCAGATCTATTACTGGGTATGTTTAGATCCCTTACCTACCAATTCCAGGTGCTAATTATCATTACTAATGATTCCAAACATACTCTTATCATTAGTTATGGTATTTGGTGAATTCGAAATGTCCATATGTTCCACATCACAAAGGTGGTTCATTTCAAGCTTGCAAGGGTTCCTTTTTTCATGTATTTTGCATTGGTTAGCAATAATGGAAATAAAAATACATTCTCAAAATTTGGAGTGGCTACATTCCTTTTTTCTTTTAAATTAAATACATAACCAATAGAACTCCCCCCCCCCTGTAACACCCCGGTGTTATGCCTGCATCTAGGCACTGCTAAATCATACATGTCATGCATCATCAAGCATCCTAATCCTACATGCATGATCTTGCATATAACAACTGAAACATTTCTTCGAAGCATACGAAACATGTTTGTGAAACGTAAATGGTACATACACTTATTATAGTTGTTCGCTTCCGATTCTTGCTTACTAGTTGCGTAGAAACTGTTGGTTATGCTTGTAAATCATCTAGAATGGTTTAGCACAATTTTTGGAGCAAGGGTTGTATTTGAATTATTGCCAAATTTTGCTTTAAAATAATTCCCCAAAATTAGGGTTTTGAGTTAAAATTTAACTTTTATTCTATAATTTAAAATCTAGATAGAATTGGACTTTGGTCATAAAAGCAAAATTGTAGGGAATTTAATTCTAAGCAATTTTCATTTTTGGTACATTTTCAAAAGAGGTCATTTTCTTGCTCAAAATAATGTTTGAATGGTGGCATTTAAAATTTCTTGAAAATAAATTGAAAATCTTCATTTCCTTTTTCTGGGCTTCGCCGCTGCCGGCCAGACAAGCCGCCTGCTGGCCCGCCTGCCCTCCGCGCCCGTCGCCCGCTCACCCGCCTGCCCGGCCCGGCTGGCTGGCCATGCCCAGATTTCTCCATGCTGCGCTTTTCTCTCCCCAGCCCGCAGGCGTCAAGCCATGGCAGAGCTTGCCCGCCAGTGGTGGCGCTCTGCTCTGGCTCAAGGCGTCCTTGCATGCGGCCTTGTGTGGCACTGCACCACGCATGCGCCGCCTTCACTTCTGCCCGTGTCCGCGCACCCGCTCACTCGCTACCGCACTTTCTCCCTCCTCCAGCCATGCAGCCCGAGCTCAAACCCCCGCCATCCACAGGTGCTCGAGCTCCGCCGTCGTCCAACTCAAGCACCACCGCACCTTTCTCCAATTCCTCGTGCCCCGAGCTCCGCCTCGCCTTCCTCAAGTAGTGCTCGAACTTGCTCCGCCTTAGAAAGCACAGGTCGGACCTCCAGCGCCTGCCGCCACCGGCGTCCATGGCACCGCCATGCATGCGGCCCGTGGGCGCTTTTTTTTCCTTCCTCTCCACCTCGCATAGCGACCTTGCCGAGCTTCGCTTTCTCCTCGCGCGTCTCTCCTGCGCTCGCTCTCTGGCGTTGTTGCGTGGCGGGAGGCGATTGGCATTGGCCGGCGCAAAGGCGCATTGTAATGCCCAGCGCCAAGCATGGCGCCACGCCTCGGTAGCCAAGCCGGCCAGAAAAGCCGTGGGCGAAAGCCTGCCAGCCGCCAGCGCTCATCCTTTTCGCTCGGGTCGCGCAGGGCGAAAGTGGCCGTGGGCCGTCGGGTCCCTTCGGCCGGCCAAGCAACACTTAAGCGAATTGTTTTTCATTTATTATTTGTTATTTGAAATCAAGAATGGTTTGAAAAATGTTTGGATGATCAAAGTTGCTCCAAATTTGTTGAAACAAATTTTTCTAGGTTCCTTATTACCAGATCTACTTGGGAAAATTATTGCATGTCATGTTTGATATACTTTCCTATAGGCTTTTATTTAATCTTGAATATTGCTGATAACTTGAAAAATATGTAGAAAAATATATAGGCTTCAGAAAAATATGATTCCAAGTTTGTTAATCTTCTTATGTCATGTACTTCTTAGGAAAAATATGTTTCATACATGTGCTGTGGGAAAATTTTGAGGTGTAGTTCAAGTACCTTAGATGGCTGATTTTTATTATTTTGCTAGAGAGCAAAATTTGTATAAAACATGCATGTAGTAATTTTTGTATAGTGATTACTTACTGTTTAGAATCTAGGAAAAATACTAATTCTGTTGTTTGACACTTTTCATAGTACAAAGTAATTTCATGCTCATTTTTTATGCTATAGCTTGTCATTTTGTGTAGGATAGTTTACTTATCCAAATGCCATGAAATTTTATGGTAGTCTGTTTAGGGTAGTATTATGCTACTGTAATTTTCTCAGATTTTTAGGAGCATCAGAAATATAGGTTGCTATTCAAACCTATTATTAATTAAGGTATAAGCAAGTGTTGCTTTAAGTGTGATTAAGAAATTAGTAAAGCTTTGGTGTATCTTTGAAGCATTTCATAAGATAGGTTAACTTAACATATTAGTAGTAGAAGAGAATGCAGTAGATGACATGTGCTTGTATTATAGTTTCGTGGATGATGTTGACTACCTTGCATTTAAACATATCCATTGCATTCATCTCCTTCGATGCACCGTTTGCATAATCACTTACGCGCATTGCATCATACAGGATCGCAAACCGAGAACCCAGTCGTCATTCCCGAGGAGCCCGAGGAGCGGTTCGAGTGCGGCCGCAGAAGTGCCGGAAGCCAAGCGAGGAGGGCGTTGAGGAACTTCCGGAGTGCCCCGATCACCGTCCGAAGCTCCTTCGAGAGAGGCAAGCCCGAACATTTTCTCCCGGTTTGCAATTAATTAATTAAATGTTTTACTTTAAATTGATGCATTACGTTCAGGAGTTGTTTGCAACCGTTCTTTGCATTATACCTTGTTTACCTTTGTTATACTATATCCTTGTTACCACGGTATCCATGATGAGTCAATGCTTATTTGGCTAGACCGGTAGAAGTCGGGTGATTTTCGTCACCTGCGAGCTATAGGTGGTTACTGGATCTCGCTTGGATGACTATGAAGTCATGGTATAACTAAGGGTTAAATGAAGTTGAGCCCGGACGGAGACTTGCGAGTTTTGAACTGTAGTGTTTAAAATCTCGTGTCGATTAAGGACCGACCGTTGTTGGGCCTCGAGTCATGTTGAACGCATGCCTTACATTTAGTTGGCCGGATAAAGTACCTTCCGACCCATGAAAATTGGGGAGATTTTTCGGCCGAGTAGATTGCCCATGCACGCCTTGTGCAGAAAGCGGTGTGGTAGGACACAGGGGCGGGATGATAAGACCAAAGTGCGATCGGTCATTCGACCCCGGGTACATGTGGTTCTGGCAAACTCGAGATACTCGGAAAGTTGACTCGGTGATCAATATCTCACTTTAGCGGGTGAGTGAGATTTGTGTAAGGAATAAATCACCCGGTGGTTAGGAATCGATTCGAATCGCCATCGCTCTGGATAGTGAGCACTTGAGTTGAGTTACTTCATCGTAGTAAATGTTTATGGAACACTTGGACGATTATAGTAAATATATGAGTATGGAAGTTGTTTAATGATCAGTGGTTATCATTAATTGCTTAATCACATGTTTACTCTAGTATAGGTGCAAATCTAGTGGACAGGTTAATAATAATTAACTTGGCAATAATGCTTTTAGAAAGGTTCTTGAAATGCTAAAAATGCTTCTTTTGCAAATGAGTCACTACCCTACTATAAAGCCCTTCATAATCCTTGGTGTCATTTTTTTCGGTTATGTCGGGTGAAGTCCGGGTGAGTACATTCTCG